ATGGTGACCACAGAGCAGAGTGAAAAAGATCATGAGACCAGGTTTGGAAAGCTTTCGTATCAGAGCCCTTTCAGTAGAATGGATTGGGTGGGAGCCATATGGGTGGATGAAGAGTGAATGGGAGATGAAGAAATAGAGACAATGTGGCCTACTTTTTCAAGAAGTTTGCTATGAAGGGTTTATGGGGTTGAGAGAAGGCATTTTAAGACAGGAGAGATCTGACGAAATAGGTAAAGATGAAGATATTTGATAGCTTTGGTGATGGGAAGTTGAAGAAATTTCTATCTGATAGCTTTTCTTTTCTCTTTGAAGTAAGAAGTGCTAAAAATGAGAGATCTCAGGAAGAGTGGCCACGATTTTAAGACAATGGAGATTAGATATCATCCCTAATACAGAGAAAGAGAAACATTGTAAGGTTGTCAGCTACAGGTGACCGTCAGGCTGATGTTGATGATCATGAGTTGGTTTTGGTAGTAGCCCTGAGTTTCTTCTTCAGGGGCATTTGGCTTCACATGTGGAGGCAGGGGAAGCCATTTTCACCCAGAGTTAGGGTTTTACTATGTGGGTATGACCGAAGGACAGAGAGGCAAGGGGGTTCAGGATATTTCTGAGAGTGAGACTAAAATTATAAACTCAGCACGCTAAGCTGGATGGGGAGATAATTTATTATGAAAGAGGTTGATAGATCTGAAGAAAACTGAGGAACCACTTGACTGGAGGTTCACAGGAGGTTGAAGAACAATTTGTAATGGAGCACCTGAGCAAAAACACCTGGGAGGATAAGAAGTTGTGATCAGAGAATGGGATGTTTGAATTAGAGACTTTAGATGTAGATAGTCCAGGGTATGACCATAGTCGTAGCAGAGTGAAGTAAAAGGACAATTAGAAATTAAAAAGGCAAGAATGTGAGAGTCCTGTTTAATCCTCTCAGTAGTCCTTTGAGGAAGATTCCCTTATTATCCTCATTTTACAGAAGAGGAAACTGAAGTTTAGAAATTGGGTTAAATAGCATGTTGAAGGTTACAGAAAAAAGCTATCCTTGTCTGACACCAGTGCCATTTATGAAAGCAATAGATGGCTGTTGGTAATTGGTTTGTGATTGATTTAAAACGATGAATATACTTGGGTTAACATAATTACATGAGAAGGAATCAAATTCCCTAAGGACAATTTACTTTACAAATTGAAATATTGAGAAAACATTTGTTTCTTAATGAATTATTGAAAGAAATTTAATACTGTTATTATTGAGACCCTACTTTATACCAGGCATTGTCCTAGGGCTACCAAAGATGAGTTAAGTTTGGTCCATGTAATTGAGAGGTTCAATAGTTTTCTCAGATTTAGAGAAGTTTAGGTATGATTCAGAATCATGGCATGGAAAATGGATTTGATTAGAGTTACAGATGTAGAGTCTTTCAAGGGAAAAAAAATTATTTCCTTTTCCAGTATATCCTAGATGTACTGAATTAAATTTAATAGAGGTTGAACCTAGGAATTTATATATTTTTAAAGTTCCCTTAGTGATTCTGATAATCTACCAAGTTCTGGAAATAGTGGACTAGATAACTTCTTAAAGTTCTTTTCAAACCTTTGACCTTATTTCCTGATAGTTAAGGTTGTAATGAAGTCTAGTATCCTAGAAGCCGTACATTATTTGTTTTAATAGTTTATTTTTTATATAATTTAGGAAATTCACCAGAAGAATCGTCTACCACCAAAGTGGAAACAAATCAGACAAGGGGTTCTTTGTCTCCAGAATCAGCCCATTTGCTCTCCTCCTCACATTCTTCATTTCAGCCAAAAATATTCACACAACTACAGGTAGAAATTCAGTAAAATAGCCAAATTTGAGAACTTTTTCTTTCTTCAACAACAACCTCCTCCTCCTCCTCCTCCTCTTCTACCCCCCCCTCCTCCGGATTGGTTATAGAATTATAATAATGATCAAAGATGTTTTCATTGTTAATTTCCTGACTTTTTGTATCTTGATTTAAAATGATAATTTAAACAATACATTTTGAAAAAGTTTGAGTGGACTATGCATGCAATAAAATTTAGCTTTCCTACTTTTCCTTTGGTTCTTATTTCTGTCCTCACATAATATTTGTTTACAACTGTACTCTTATATTTTATTCCGATTTTGTGTCAAAAGAATAATACAGCCTATGAGAACTTTTACATAGTAAATTCAGACATTTTGATGTAACTCTTTTTGATTTAAAAGGGTTTACAGTTGCAACCAAGATTCACTTCTCCTGATGGATCACCGGCTCTGATATCAGTAAATGACCACCTCTCCTCTAGTCCTTCAAGACCTCTGGATTCAATAAGAAGTACTGTAATAAATAATAACTCTCTACAGTGTGGTCAAAGTCATGGCCTTCAAACAGATACATGCCTTACCCCAAACAACAGTATTGCCTCTACCATGGGTAACCTTCTAGCACCAGATCAAAATGTGGCTGCAGTGGATCAGCTGGTGGACGTTGGAGATGCTGAGGATACAGAGAATCTGGAAGGAAGTGTTCATCGATTTCTGTTGGGAAATGTACAGACCATTCCAATACAAATTATAGACAGCCACCCAGCTCTTAGTAAGTTAAAATCATCTTAAGATTTTTTTAAAACACTTTATGAGCTATCGTCACTACACTACAGAAAAAAAACTATCATTTCTATTCAGTGGGTTTATAATATGTAAAGAAATCAAGTAAAGCTATAAGAGAAAGGGAAAACATTTTATGAGCATATGTTTTAATAACAAACTTATTTTTTTTCTCTACTGTAATTATTAATTAATTACCTATCTTTACATGGAAAATCTGTGGTGATGTTAGATCAGGAAAATCTATGGTGATGTTAGAATTCATGAAAAATTAAACTTTAAAGGGAAAACTATTTAGTGAAAAGGTTATTATAGAAAAATTAATATGCACATAATGAAAATGGAATGAAGTGGGCAGATATAAAGATTTAAAGGAAAATTTTGAGTTATAGACTTAAATATTGAGTTCTGTGGAATTTGAAAGGGGACTTGGGTATAATACATGACTTTGTTACCCTCCCTTTGTAATGAGCCCAGTCAACATAGTAATAGACTGTTAACTCCTACTTGACCTATGTCACTTCTTTTTCCACTAATTGTTCTGGATTGGGCAGTTTAGTGGGGAAAGATTTGCAGTTTGCTTTGAAAAGCAAAATCTTCATAGAAATTATCCTTAGAACATATATTTTCCCTA